ACAACCGAAGAACAAGAAAGCAAAATTTTGACTTTATTCTTGAGAAAGTCAGAAACAAGCTTGCAGGTTCGAATGCAAACCTACTTTCACCAGCGAGCCGCATGGTACTCATTCAGTCCATGATGGCAACCATACCAATGTACTACATGCCATGCAAGACCTTTCCAGCCTTAACATGCCGTGAACTTGATAGAATAAATCAAAATTTCTGCTGGGGATGAGGGGAAGAGAAAAAAAACTTCACAATATAAGGTCGTCTGAGGTTACCAAACCTAACGAGGAAAGTGGTCTAGGATTGAAAAGAAGCGACCCACGAAATCTTACTCTCCTTACTAAACTGTGTTGGAGAATAATATATCACCAAAATGACCTTTGAGTAAGAGTACTTTCAAACAAATACTTTTCTAAAAGACACCTATGTAACTCTGCCACATCTATGGTTTGGAAGTCTATGAGCAAATGTAAACAGCTTCTAGAGAAAAAAGGTGAGGTGGGTTATGCATGATGGAGTAAAGACCAGCTTTTGGTTCAACAACTGGATAGGGAAGGGAGGTATTAGAACACTGATTGAAGGACCCCTCAATAAGGGGGAAGAGGCACTCATGATTAAGGAGTTTAGGTAGGCTGGTGAAACTGATGAACAACCTCACTTATTTTTCCAATTCCCAGAGGAAATTCTTAGATTATCCAAAGCATTCCTTTTTCCCTACGACAAAATGGTGTAGATACTTTATGTTGGAAATACTCACACATAGGAGAATTTTCTTTGAGTAGTGCATACAAACTCTCTTCTCTTGATGATATCCAAGGACAGTATGTGGAAAAAAAGAAGTGGCTATGGATTTCGAAGCTTAATGTTTATCCTAAGCTCTAGTTTTTTCTTTGGGAATGTATGCATTAGAGCCTTCCAACTAGGGTTTTTCTTAGAATGAGAGGTACGGATATATAGGGAGAATGCCCTTTCTGTTCTACAAGGAAGGAAACCTTGGTGCACCTATTTTCTGAATGCCCGACCATCCTTCATTGGTGCGCCCTGGTTAAAACACCACCCCAGGGACATTTTACAAGTTGCTCCACATAGACTGAGTGGCTGCATCTTGATGCAACCTCCAATCAGGTCCTGGCCAATCATAGAGTACCATGAAAAATAATGTTCACCTTCCTCCTATGGCAAGTATGGACAATTAGAAATAAGCTAATCTTTGAAGGAAAATTAGATGCTACAAGAGTCGTCCCAAGAATCGTGGAGCAAGCAATTGAATTTCATGCAATGGTGGGAAAAACCAAGAAAGTTCCGCTGCCTACTATCATTGGAGTTTAATGGAAACCCCCTCTCGATTGGCACAAGCTTAACACTGATGGATCTTCATTTGGAAACCTAGGAAAAGCTGGAACTGGAGCAATATTACAGAACCATACAGGAAAATGGATTGCAAGATCGTCTCAACATGTCCCAAGGGCTACCAGTATTGAAGGTGTATTATGGGCCTTTAGAGATGGTCTCAAGCTTGCAATCGAGGCAGGAGTCTAGAAATTGGAAGTGGAATTGGATGCCATGGTCGTGATTAGTCTTATAAAGAACACTAAATTTACCAACCAGTTTCTTTAGACTTTAGTTTGTGATTGTAGGATGATGCTGAGGAATTTCCAACAGACAGTAGTGAGACATATCTTCCGTGAAGGGAATAGTAGCGCTGATACTCTGGCTAGGAGGGGAAGCAATGATCTAGTGTAGAATTGTTCTGTTAGCCAAGTTTTATCTATTTTTGAATCCTTTTCTAATCCCCCTGATTGCATCATTTCCCTTTTATTAGCTAAGACTATTGGAGTTATGAAGTACCGTACTATCTTTTAATTTATGCAAGCTTCCTTTATTGACAAAAACTCCATTTCTTTTAAAAATATTAATTAAAAAATTTCAAAACATTAAAAAAATCGATTTATTAATATATTCATAATATTTTTCTTATTGAAAAAAAATATTATTTTGAATCTATTCTTTATTAAAATTTTATATTTATAAAAATTAAAAAAAAAAAAGACAATCAAAATTGGCCTTACCAACTCTGATATGATATAAAGAAGAAATCAAGTTATTGAAAATAATATTTTTTGAATTTATGTAAATATATAATTTTTAATAATAATATTTACAAAATAGATTTTTTGATAGAAAATGTATTTTTAAATAGATTAATAAATTTATTTTTAAAATGATATAAAATTTTTTACTTAATATTTTAAAATGATATATAGTTTTTTATTTAATTTTTTTAAATCTATATAGAAATTTTTAGTTTACTTTTTAAAATTATATGAAATTTTTTTAAAAAGGATTTTAAAATTTTTAACTTAATTTTAATATTTGAAAAAATATTTTTATTAAAAAAATATTTAACTAATAAATTATATTACAATAAAAATATAAAACATTATTTTAAATTTAATATTTTATAAAATATATTTGAAATATAAAAAATTTGAGTAAAATTTTATTTTGATTCCTTTCGTCAGCTATGTGAAATATTAGTTGACATTATTCACGTGACGTTAAGTGATATTTATCATCAATTTAGAAAGTTTTATAAATTGAATGACCAAATTACGATAACTTTAAGCTATTGAAGATTTAATTAAAATTTTTTAAAGATTGAAGATCAAAATAAAATTTAAATCAAAGTTTAAGAATCACAAATGATATTAACTTGATATAATATGTGACAAAAAAAAAAGAATAATAAAAAAAGTAGAAATAAAAAAAACAATGATCAAATAATTCTTTTTAATTTTTAAGAAAAATAAATGATTTTTTTGTTGACTATAAAAAATTTTAAGAAAGCAAAGGTCAAATTTAAGTTTTTTTTTAATGGTTGATGAATGCTCAATAGACACGTGGCATGTTTGATTTTATATAGTGTGATTCCGGCCTCGCGACTTAACGTTGCATGCAATACAAGTTTCATTTTTTGTTGTATTTTATTTTTATTTGAACAAATTTAAAAATGTGTGATTGTAATTTGAATTAAATTAAATGTTATATTTTTAATTAAGAATTGAGCTAAATATTAGATATTAAATTGAGTATTTAGTTTAAGTTAAACCCAAAAAATTTTAAAAAATTAAACATAATTAATTTAAAATATGACATAATAATATGATATAAAAATGATATAAAAAAAATAAAAAGATAACACGGTTTAAAATTTTGATAAAAATTATTTATGAGTTTAATAAAATAAAAAATATTTATTTTATATTTTTATTTTGAGATAAATTATAATACGTAATTTTCATATAAAATATGACATGAATATATAAATTATCAAATATACTAGTAAGAAACTTACCAATCTCATTCTCATAAATATATATATATATATATATAAAGATATATAATAGTCTTTACACTAATGAATTTTGTTTTATCTAATAGGGTTGATCCAATTGCTAAGTAGAAATTTTTTTATCAACTTAGGATTGATCTCACATGTCAAAAGTAAAATATTAAATGTATAGATATAAAAAAAAATCATATGATAGATGGGATATAAGTATTAGAAATATCCATACATCAAATTTCAATTCAATCTAAGTTAAATGAAAAAAATTATTTGTTGGATAAATTGATTAAAATTTCTCTATATTAAAATTTTTATTTTTTAACTAAATTAAAAATTCGATAAAGTATAATGATAATTTGAAGAATGTATTTTGATTTATATAAAGATTTAACTTATGAAATTTATTATGATAAAAAAAATAGTATGAATTTTTCATGCTTTTTCTCTTGATTCTTATAGCATGATTCTTAGAATTATCAAAATTTTCAATAATAATACATGTTGACAATTAAAAATAATTCTTATAATCAAACCATTCATTGAGATAATGATTATCAAAAAATATAAACTCAGTTGTTTATAATTTTTCTCTCTAAAGTCGATTTTAAAATTAAAAATTTGAACTTTGAACTTTAGTCACAATATAAATGAGGAAAAAAAATTTGAAATTGGTGATGGGATTACAATGATTATAGGCTTTGTTTTAATTTGTATTTTAAATTTTCAATTTTAGATATCTTTCATCTTTTATAATTCTTTTTTTGGAAACAAAGGAAGTTATAAATTGGAATAAAGAAAGATTATAAATATTAAGATTTTAATTTCAAATATATTATTTTCATTTTTAAGTTTAAAAGAAATTCATGAACAATTTAAATTAAGTCTTGGATTCATATAAATTCTTTTTTAGCTATCTTAAACTATTATACTTTTTATATTTGATTAGATTTTTTTTTCTTATTTTTATTTGTTTTTGAAATCAATTACTATTAACAAAAAATTTAAATCAAGGAATTTTTTTCAAAATTAATATGGTCTGTTGGTAAAATATTGAATTCTAAATTCTAGTGATAGATGCAAAATAACTTGAGATGATCTATTATAAAAAAAAAAAAATCGATAGCATCCCATGCATTGATGTAGTTTTTATTTTTCTTTTGATTTCTATAACACTTATAAAGATAAAGAATGAAAATTTATAATAAAAAGTATTAATAAAATTATCCACTTGAAATATAAAAGAGTTTGGTTTAATATAGTTTTGCTATGAACTTCAGTAAATATCAAGTATAGCATAACAACAAAGTTTTTTTTCTTTTTTTTCTTTTTTTTTTTCGAGGGTAAAAAAAGTTTGAGATGGGCTTAATGTGACTAATGTGGTATCCTTTCATGATATGGAGCTAATGTGACAGTGTCCATGTGTCACAATTCTAAATAATAAAGGATGAACATATATGTAAGTTAAATATAAAGCATAAATATTGAAAAAAAAATAGTGTAAATAATTATTCAACTTAAGATTAAAAGAGTATGAAATCTTTTCTGCAGATCGGACGGCCCAAATCCTAAACTTTCTTCAAGCGTGGGCACCACCGAGAGATTTTCCACGTGTCCGAATCTCCTTGCAGGACCACGCAATTCCATCTTTTCCTCACCCACCTTTCCACTGCCCATTCTCGCAAAGTACACGCCTCTTCCTCCTTCAACCTCCTCCCTTCCAGCTGCCACTCCAAACCTCACCTTCGGATCCGAACCTCAATTTTGCTCCACAGTTCGTTGAAAATTTCGCACTATTTCGATCGCTTTATCGCTCTCTCTCTTCGAGCTAAAACAAAAACGCCCATTTTTTTTTCTCTCTAAAACCTCCTTCGGATTCAAACCCTAATAATTTTTTTTCACAATTTTGACACTCTTCAAGGATCGATTTTTCGAGCATCATTTCAAAGGCTTCTCCACGCCACTGTAAGTTCACTTCTACTTTTTCTCTCTATAGAAACCCTAATGTCTTTTTTTTTCACTCTAAAAATCTTTTTTTTTTTTTAAATGAGACTCTGAATCGATGATAGGGCTTTGGTGTTATAGGACCGGGCAATTGTGTGGTTTGTATTTCTTTTTATTTAGGGATAGGCATTGCTTGCTGCCGTTTCGATCTTTTGTTTAGTTTAGGTTAGAAATGCGAGATTTTACGGAATTTTTGAGTTTTAATGTCTGTTTGGTTGCCGAGAAATTTGAGGATGCCTGAGACCTTCATCGTGAGGAATTTGCAAATTTTAAATTGAGCTAAAGTTATGGTAGTTCTTTTCTTCCTGCCCTCTAAAAGGTTATAACCTTTTTTATGCAAATCTTTACGTTTTTATCTTTAATTTAGTTACCTACATTTTTTATTAATAGTGGATTTATGTTTTTACTTCTCATGTAGTATTTGCTTGGTTGCCTCTTGAGTGTCTCTTTTCATTTTGTGATATTTGGATTTCATTGACCTTGATATGGTAACCTTTGATGCTTTTGATGTTTGTTTTTGTTAACGGGAGGTAGCCTACTAGCTTGTCTGCTGTCCGTATCTTTATGTATTTGGTGTGTCAGGCTGCCAACTACTCATATGTACATCTGAATTTAGTGATTTAGTGAATCTACTTTTAATTAAGTTTCATCAATATGAAGTTTGTGTTTCATGTTAATTAACGAGGATGCAACATAAATTGACAAGAAAACAAAGACAAACAATGCCATTAGATTGCTATAGTGAGAAAATAAAAACTTTAAATATAAGGAGTGATACAACAACGTGCCACTTTTGATGAATTCACAGTAAATTCTTATCAGTAGATGTACTGTCAGTATGCTGTATAAGAAGCATTGATAATGCATGGGGTCATGGCCTGACAAAAGTCTGAATGGTCGTACAAATATTTGTGAAGTTTATAATTCTGATTTGGTTTCATGGAGATGGTTGACATACGGTAGTTAAGTGGAGGAGGATGTCAAGCTTCATGAGCTTATGTTATATTAGACTTTTAGACTGATTGCAAAAGGAGTGATGCTTTTTAAGAAAAAGTTTGTGTGGTTATTCACATTGGTGTCTATTCTGTGGATAATGTGTGGTTATTAACCTTGGTTGGGTTGGTGAGCTGTCTTTACTGGGTTCTTCTTGCTATGAAATACATATCTGTCTCCTTGTCTTAGTATATGTTTCATGAGATCCTCATTGTCATTTCCCTTCTGTATCCTGTGGTGAGGCCTAGATGGAAATTAACCTTACTTTTGGCACAAGTAAGACTTTGTATTTAGTACCCAAAATGTTGTATTTTGTTGGGAGGTTATGATGCAGTGTTTCGTGGAAGCTCTTATTTCTTGTTTATTTCTTGTACTTAAGGTTGAAACACAGCATTTCTATCTAGATACTTAAGTTCGTAGCTTGAATTGTTTCTGGCGTTGGAAGATCATCTTGCAAATAAGAACGAGCAACTCTTCAGTAGGTAATCAATTTTTTACCTTTTGTTTCCTGTATTTAAAAGCTGGATACTTGTGTGTACTCTGATTATGACTGTACCTATGGAGTTATAAATTTTAGATAGTTTAAGAATTAGCTGGGAATAAAGTTAATGCCCTCCTTGAGTTGTCCTTGGAGAAAATTCTTCCAACCATATGGATGGGCTTCAATGTTGAAAGCTTGGAGACTGTGAAAGTTGTTCTGTAGTTTTTTATACCTATTATTATATATCTAAATATGGACGATGACACATCCAAAGGGGTTGTAAATGCACCCTTTTCTTTGGGAATCATAAGATGACTAATTCTAAAGTCATAATTTTTTATGGAAGATGCTTGGGATTTAGGAATGATCCATCAAATAAAATTTCAAAAGATAATTGCTCTAGGAAAGAACCCTCTTGAGCTACATTTTTTTATGCACCATTCAGGGTGTATGGTATGATACAAGAAAATGGGAGATATAATGTTTCTATCGGAGGACAAACCTCTTTAAACATAATTTTGATGCACAATTGATGATATAGAAGTTTCAATCAAGAGAATGGAAGTTATTATTATCTATATGATACCTCTTGTGTCTTTACTACTAGTTGAGGGAAAAAAAGATGAACATCAGGAATTTCTGTTTTACTAGGCAAGGGAAAAAAATGAATGTTAATAAACTATTTCTCTTTCTCCTCCAAATTAAAATAATTTTAATATGACTTGTATTTTCCATGCCAAACTAATATTGATATTTGATAGAAGAGCAAAGGAGCAGCGTACAACAGCACTGGCTTTCAAATTAATACTATGGATGCTGGGTATGTTTATGTCAACTTTGATAAATGCCACTTTTAAAATACCTTGTATAATTCCACTGCTCAAGGACCAAATAGATAAAAATTTGTGCAAATGAGAGTAATTCCTTCTTGTGCTTTTCATGTTGTCAACAAATTTGGTTGCATGTGGTATTGAAGGTATGTCACATTCAATTTTAATGATACAAGATTAACTTTTATATGGTTTAAGAAGTATCATCATATGTTATATCCAAGAAGCTGTATTGAAGCATATTAAGTTGTTGTGCCATTTCATTTGTTTTTTGGATACCTCTTTTTTGACATATTTATGCTTCTCACCACACCTTCCCTATACCAAATGAAGAAAAGAAAGGTGGAAAAATTCTCATGCTTGGATAGTTGCATTAACTTGCTTTAACTTTTGTTTCCATGAAGAGATGATATATGGATTTTAAGCATGCAGGATAAGGTTGAGTTTTGAAACGTAGCAACTGGGGTGAATGCTTAAATGTGCAGAAGAGGTTTGTTTCTAATTACAATTGGATTTAAAAAAGGATTCTTATGATTGTGTACTCTGTAATGGAATTGCAGGCATGTGAAAACTTTAACTTAATTCTTATTTCTTGTAGGTAGTAATTTTTTCTCACAAAATTTTAGCTGCTTTTGGCTTGGATCATCTCTATGCCTGGCAACGAAGTTGGAGACAGGATTCATAATTTCCTTGGCCAAGAGAGTTTGTCCCAGGGCCAGCACCATTCGCAAGTCATTGACAGTACCTGGCCTGGCTTAAGTAACAATCTTTGGGTTGGAAGCCAGAGACAAGTTGGTGGACCTCTTGTTTCCAGTTTGAAGAATTTCAGTGTACATCAATTAGGTAATAATTAAGACTTGATCGTTTAGTTTCTACTTGCTTCTGTTACAACAATTATAGTAATTCAATTTTAGTGCATTGTTGTAACATGCTTCTAAACCACTATTTAGTTGACATTATTATATTTTATTTTGGCATTAGCTGAGTCTGATAGAGGACATAGTGGTCAGTCTTCAAGCCTGCAGCATGGCTTGAACTTTACTCAATCAGGTCTGAGGCCTGAAATTGCCAAAAGTCAATCAGAAAACCAATCACCAATTGCAAATGGCTATTTGCAAGGGCATCAGGCTTTCTTGGCAAGGGAGAATGAAACAAACTTTTTGGGAGTGGATACAGCATCTAGAGGCTTATCAGCTCTTGATTCACAGATAGGAAACGGCCCTGATTTTCATAAGAAAAATTCATTGAGGTTGGAATCTACTGAATCTCCTGTAAATTATGATTTTTTTGGAGGGCAACAACAAATTAGTGGACAGCATTCTGGCATGATCCAGCCTTTGCCAAGTTTGCAACCAGGGATTACTGACATGCAGCTTTCACATGCTATGCTTAAGCAAATGCAAGAATTACAGAGGCAACAACTTCCGAAGCCACAGTTTCAGCTACCAGATGCAAGGCAGTTGAGCTCTGTGAATCAGGGTTCCTCTGTTGTAAAACAGGGATCAGGTAGCCTTTCTACTGCTCCAATTAATGGCGTTCCTGTCCATGATGCTTCAAATTATTCCTGGCAGCCTGAGCACATGACACCAAATGCAAATTGGCTGCAGCATGGTGCCTCTCCAACCATGCAGGGATCCTCTGGTGGATTTTTGTTTTCCCCTGAGCAAGGCCAGGTGCGTTTGATGGGTTTGGTTCCTCAACAGGTTGATCAATCATTTTATGGGATCTCTACCGGTGGTGTGAGAGGAAATCCATATCAATATTCTTTTGTCCAAATGGATAAGCCTTTAATGCAGCAGGTGCCAGCCAGCGGTAATTCTTTTCCAGGTAATCAGGATGGTATGTTTTCAGATCAAGTTGTTTTGCAAGATGGAACTTCGGCTTCTAGACAGGGTGATCAGGGTAAAAATGTGTTTGGGGATGCAGCAGGTCAAGGCTTAAATAGTGGCTTCCATTCAGAAAACTTGCATCAAACGACCATCCAGCCAAAAAATGCAGTGATACAGGAGTCTTGTGGGAGGCAAGGACATCCTGGTCCATCAGAAGAATCCCTGGAGAAGTCAGTGATTCAGGTTGCCCCCTCTCAGAGTGTGGCTACGCTAGATCCAACTGAAGAAAAGATTTTGTTTGGTTCAGATGACAGTGTGTGGGATATCTTTGGAAGAAGCACCAACATGGGCTCAGCGTTGGATGGTACAGACTCTTTTGGGACATTTCCTTCTTTGCAAAGTGGAAGTTGGAGTGCTCTTATGCAGTCTGCTGTAGCCGAAACATCTAGTAATGATTTAGGGGTACAGGAAAAGTGGAGTGGTTTGCATGTGCAGAACAGTGAACCTCCAAGTGGGAACAAGCCACCACCAATTGTCAATGATGGCAGCAAACAGCAATTGGCTTGGCCTGATAACAACTTGCAGACTGCCTCGAGACTGAACTCTAAACCTTTTCCCATGTCTACTGATGCCAATATTAATCTTGACTTTTGTAGTGTTCCTGGGGTTTTGCAATCTGGTGTCCAGATTGCAAATGAACAGACTGGGAGAATGCATATTGATTCATCTCAGAGATTTGTTCAACAGTTAACAGAAGAAAGGTTAGATTGCACTCCTCTACAAAAGCCTGTAGTGGAAAGTGCTCAACTCTTTGGGAATGTTGCTGTGTCTCCCAACCTGCAAGTAAGTGCAAATAGCAGTTCAGGTCACCAACAAGGCAAAGCCGTATATAATCCTCACTGTCAGCCACACAATAAGCCAAACGGTTGGAACTTCATTGATTCTACATCACATAGTGGTGGCGCTATATCAAAAAGTCAGGTTATTGAAAGTTCATTGCAACCTTCTCAGAATCGTGATCATAGAGGTGCCATGTATGAGGAGAGAGGTCATGGTTCTGGTCTTGGTCATCCTGTTCCTGATGCAAATATTGAATCAGGGAATGTGAATTCTGGCTTGGGATGCCCGCAGGTTAACAGGGAAGGTTCTGACCTGGATAATGTTGCTGCAATAACAGATTCAAGAACCACAAAGGTCAGCAAGGAAAGCATCTGGCAACTTACAAATAGTCATAATCTTAATCTCTGGGAAAGTATTGATTCTAACATAAACTCTGGACGAAGCAGGGATCTGGCAAAATATCAGCAAAATCAGGTTAGGAGCCCTCAAACTTTTGATTCAGCTGGAAATAATAGCTTGGACAAGGGAGCGTCTGAAGCAAAGATGTTGGAGAACCCCAATGTTAAAGAAACTTCAAATGACAGTTTTCACCCTAACTTATCGCACCATACTTCTACTGGTGGCATGAGAGACAATGTCTGGCTGGATGTAAATGATCCACGGGGAGGAAAACAGAAGTCATCCGTTCATGTTAGTCGTAAACCTTCTGGAACCCGTAAATTTCAGTATCATCCTATGGGGGATCTGGATGTGGAGGTTGAACCTTCTTATGTAGCTATAAATGTAACACATTCACAGGCAATATCCCAACATGTTTCTCAAGGACTGAAAGTTCATGACCAAGGATACTTTGGGCAGTCAAAATTTACTGGTCATGCTGCTGGAGAGTCGACAGAAATTGAGAAGGTTATTTTCTTTTTTTGGTCATATTTGTAAATAGTGTAAAATTGCCAACTCTTTTTCTCTGTCCTCTTTATCACTGCTGAATTTTACTTCATGTTTTAGAACTATATAATTCTTTGGAAGACTAAACATTTTTGTTATTAATTTTCTTCTTTTATATATAGGGTTGCTTTCCTGGCATTGGAGTAGATGAGGTACCTTCCAAGAGTTCAAATCATGGTTTTGCTCCTGACAGATCTTTTGTTGGTTTTGTGCCAAACAAGACAGCTTCAATGAGGTAGTTGAATATTTGTACTTCTCAATTTTTAGCTTGACTTGAATTTTTTGCTTTTCTCAAATTTTGTTGTTGTTGCAAGTTAGCTATAAATAATATTCTTTTGTTTTGTTAAAACATGATAGTAAAAACTTATTCATCATTATATTTATATTTGAAATCTGATTGTTATTTGTTAATGTGGGCACTTCTGCTTTCCTTATTGTTATTATTATTGTGCTGGTTTCCTTATTTACTTTCTATTGTGCTCTGAATATTACAAAATTTCACAGTCAAAATATGCTGGAGCTTCTTCCAAAAGTTGATCAGCCAAGGGAACATGTTACTGCAACACACTTAAGCTCTTCTGAGCGCAATCAATCATCTGAAATGCCAGATGCAGAAACTTCTGATGGATCAGTAGGCCAGTTTCAGCATAGCAGGCCTTCTGCTTCCCAAGGTTTTGGCTTACAACTAGGTCCCCCATCCCAAAGGATTACGATTCCAGATCGCGCAATCTCATCTCCGAGTTCTCCCCAAGGCATTAATTCTCTAAATTCAGTTCATGTCTCTTCTGAGGTAGGAAGGAAGGGTCATTCATGGTTGGGCCCAACAACTTCTATTCAGTCCTCAACTTACGGAGCATACCATGGAGATATTAGGAAAAATGTTTCAAGTGTCTCTGGTCAAACCAGCAACAAAGCCTCACAATATAATATCCAGGGCAACTTTTCTGCAGGTTTTACCTCCAATTATCCTTATTTAAAAAGTCATCTTCAAAGCCAGCATGTTACTAGTGTGGGTAGTCAAGAAACACCAAATGAATCTGTCAACGCACCTTTTGGTGGTTTGGCGTCTCAGTCGAAGCAGACTGATGACTCTTCTGAGAGAGCTCAAACTAGTCAATTGGGAATGAAATCAGCACCTCACATACCCAAAACTGCTCCAGATAATGAACTTGCTTCTTCAGAGATTTCTCGGCCAAGTAGTAGCAACCAAAGCCTTGCAAGGGATCCAGGCCAGCAGTTTCCAGTATTGGAGGCTGTGCCAGCTTCCCAACCTTCTGCTACATCTGAATCTCCACAGCAAGGTGCTTTTACCAAAATGCCTAATGTTTGGACCAGTGTCTCTGCCCCACAACATTTATTAGGAGCTCAGTCTTCTCAGGCGTCACAAAATTTGTTTAAGCCCCATCATCAATCAAATATTAACTCAGTGACAACTCTTCCTGGAACAAAGAAGCTAAATGATCAACTTGCTCGGGCAGGAGGGAGTGGCCAATCTGAGTTCCCTGCAGTCTCTGCTAAATTACAGAGCTTTGTTGGAGAAGATCAACAAGCAAAAGCCCAGCCGGTGTTGCCAGAGAATGATGCCAGCCAAAATCCTGCATCTATGCAAAGCGACATTGAAGCTTTTGACCGTTCTTTAAGGCCAAATAATGCTGTATGTCAGAACTATTCATTGTTGCATCAGCTGCAGGCCATGAAAAATATAGAGATTGATCCAAGTGATAGGAGTGTCAAAAGATTTAAAGGCCAAACTCCGGACTCTGGTTTGGATACTCAGCAGGTAAGTTCCCAAGGTGCAGAGCAGTTATCTTATGGATCTGATACTATAATGAGAGATGCCCCAGTAAATCCTCTGTTAGTTCCTTCTGGAGATTCTACGATGCTAAGCTTTTCATCAAACGCTGGAGATAAATTTGAGACACAGTTATCTTCTAATGATATGCTGGCATTTGCTCGGAATGATTCCCAGCATTTCTCCAATGCTAATAATTCAGCTGCTAATCTCAAGGGTGGACACTCTCAGATTAGTCCCCAGATGGCTCCATCCTGGTTTGATCGGTATGGAACATTTAAAAACGGGCAAATGTTGCCTTTATATGATGCTCAGAAAATTGCCATGATGAAGGCTGCAGACAAAGCATTCATTGTTGGTAGGCCTTCTGACAGTTTGCTTGCTCTTCATTCAAATGAGCAGGTTAATGCTGCTGCTGATGCTAGTCAGCTGGATAATTCCCTGCTAAGCTCAAACCTCTTGCCAATAGCAAGTGAGCATATCGCCCCTCACTTGCTGCCTCCTGATATTACAAATCAGAATTTGGCTGTTGTGAGAGCAAGGAAGCGTAAAAGTATGACATTTGAGCTTCTGCCATGGCATAGAGAAGTGACACAAGGTTGTCAAAGGCCTCAGAATATCAGGTGATTGGCTTAAATATCCCATTTGCTGCAATTACTTTTAACAGTATAGATGTCACTGACCAAAATCACTAAAATATTTCCCAACAAATTTGTTAATATGCAAAAATTAGTTGCTTCTCTTCTTTCACTATGGTTTTGTTTTTCTTCTTTTTTTGGAATTATATTGAAAATTTTCTGTTGATCACAGTGCCGCAGAAGTGGAATGGGCGCACGCAGCAAATCGATTGATTGAGAAGGTGGGCTCAGCGTTTAACTGTCTTACTTTGATCTTATGTTATTCTGTCTTAGAGTCTTAGAACTCTGACAGTTCTCATCTTAAGGACATTGATCTTAATTGCAGGTTGAAGATGAACCTGAAATGATTGAAGATTGGCCGCCAGTGCTTAGATCGAAAAGAAGGCTTATCTTGACAATGCAGCTTATGCAGCAACTACTTTGTGCTCCTCCAAGAGTAGTACTTTCTGCAGATGGTAGCAAAAACTATGAGACTGTAACCTATTTTGTTGCCAGATCAGTGTTAGGAGATGTATGCAGCACAGCATATGTACCTGAGAGTGATACCACTGTTTCTCCTAACTGTGGAAGCGCGTAAGAACATGTTAATTTTGTTTGAAATCCTTGAATCCTGATTTTACTGGCTCTCATTTTTGGGTCATTGTTCTTAGTAAGTGCTACCATCTTGCTAATGATTTTTTTTTTTTCTGTCAATTTGATTTTAGCCTCTCTGAAAAGCTCAAGGAGAGAAATCAATCCATCTTAAAGGCTGCAGAAGAGTTTATCATCAGAGCAAAGAAGCTGGAAAATGATTTACATAGGTAACTCAGGTCTAGTTTTTGCCAATATCTTTTATGGATAATATCTTGTCTTATGTTAATTTTTTGCAACATTGTTATAATGTGAACCTTGGCATTGTTCATGAATCCTGAAGTTCAATGTTTCGTGCTAAGAACATCCTTACAGACCACCCTTCAAGTTTGATTATAATGTTGTATCAGGGGTGTGTCAAGGTGTCATACATCAGTTAATTTATTGGTAACGAGGCTGATATGGCTCTCATCCAAACATAATTATGCAGAAGGATTTACTTGTTAGATCTGTGGATAGTATTAGTTTTCCTTTCCTGTTCTTAGTATTTTCCCAGCATAGGCTCAATAATTCTTTGGATTTAAGATTGAGGTGCATTTTGCCTGTTGAATGTCTGGGCTGATATGTATTCTAATGTATCATATAATTATACGCCTTCATTTTAATTAAATCATGGGAGATGATTTTAACTGCAGGATATTTACTGTTCTTCTAACATGTTATCTTTATTGTGTTGTTTTCTAACATGTTCAAGTATGTAAAGCTGCTTGTTTTATAGAATCCAACGAAGGTAATGACTTTTTCGATGAATACTTGGTTAACTCGGAAAATAACATTTAATAGCCGCAGGGACCTAAAGGGTGATTTGTGTGATTGTGTTGGTGCTATTTAGAGGATGCAAACTGCTATCAAGTTGCAATTGAGTATTTGCTGTGAGCTTTGGAAAAAAAGAGTGTTTTATTCTGGTGCATTGATTTAATATACTTTAAAGGATAATTTTTTGCTTTGATTTGCATTAAGCTTGAAGTAAGATTTAACTCGGGCCTCTAATTATTTGTTTACTTTTTAAATTTTTTCGTTCCTTTGGTTGCCCAATGCTACCACCCCCATTATTTGTTTTGCCCTAAGCTCTTATTAAGACTTTGCCAATTGCCTTATCTTCTAATTGTTTCCTCTTTGTTATGCAGTCTTGAGAAGAGAGCCTCGATCTTGGACTTAAGAGTGGAATGTCAGGATCTAGAGAAGTTTTCTGTTATCAATCGATTTGCCAAATTCCACAGCCGGGGGCATGCTGACGGGGCTGAGACCTCATCGTCCTCAGATGCAATTGCTAGTTCTCACAAATTGTTCCCCCAGAGATATGTTACTGCACTACCGATGCCTAGGAATCTCCCTGATAGGGTACAATGTCTTTCACTTTGATCATTAATTAATTAATTGATTTTTCCCCCTTTTTTTTGGCCAGTTGTCTTCTTACCCCTCATGCATCTATGGTCCAATTTCTTCCAACCTATATATTGGCACATTGTCATAATTGAACCACACAAATGGGAATGTAGGAGAAGAAATGTCTCCTTAAAGCAACAGAGGCTCTTAGATCTTTTCATTGTAGGCCATTCTTGAGAAATATAAGTTGGTCTTTGTATACTTGGTGCCCCGTGATTTTTCGGTAGATGGGGGAGAACAGAAGCTCGTTCCGGTTTTTCAACAACAGATAGCTGAATATTCAGGTAATTAAGTGTATTTATTTAAGCCTTTGGATGCGTTCCATTCATAAGTAAAAAGCATTTTATTTTACCTTTCTCATCTTCTCATCTCTCGAACTGAAAGGTGTTGGATCACTCTGTGAGAAATTGCTTTTTTTTTTTTTTTTTTCATATGCCATTAGGTTTTGTAAGCAAAATTGGTATATATAATTCATCTCATAAATTCAAGATATAAAATCTTAAATTTCGTTCATCTGATTTGAATAAGAAACAAATTATTAATATTAAACTTGATCTTTTAAAGTAGACTATATTTAAGATATTTCCTCATATCATAAATGGTAGTAGATATTTCCATATATTGTATTAGGCTACAATTGATAAAGAACTTAAAGATGCTAAGACAAGAAAACATTTGTAATCAGTTCAAAATCAAAATAGCCCAAAATTTGTCTGGATTTGGAATGATTCAAAACCGTGGCGACACTGACAATTTGACGTGAAACATTACAAATCTAAACCAACCTGGAAATTTCATTGGTATTTAGAAAGCCAACTCTGTTCCATATTCATATAAGCTGATTAAAAATAGAAGAAATTCATTAGTTTTCGAAATGTATCAGGAAAAAGAAAGAAAGAAAGAATGATACAATCGAAGATGGTTTGATTTTTACTTGGATGAGCAGTAAAATTGATTTTTGTAGAAACTGAAAATAAGACAAGAATAAAGTATTATAAGAATTATATTAGTGATGAAGATAAATATTTAAATATAAACATAACGATGAAAATAAATTGAATATATCAGTGAATTGTTTCATCAAATATAGTTATGAAAATAAAATTGAATATATCAGTGAATTGTTTCATCAAATATAGTCAACTTTTATAGTGTAAAATTGACTTTTATTCTAATTATACACTAAAAGCAATTGATTGTATTAAAATCCAATCTCTTTTTCCCTCGGTTAAAATTAAAGGATCAGTGCATTTTGGAAACCTTGACTGCATCATTGGGGCTATCCAAATACACTTCACAACCGCGGTGCGTTTGGGGACAAAAGTCCCCTTCGATTCCATCGCACTTTTGTTTTAAATATTTTTTAAATTGATGGAAAAAAAAAAAAAAAACTTTCGTGATAGTCCTATTATAACAAACTTATTCAGAAATAGAAGGAGAATAAAAATAATTTTCTCGACAGAAAAAAAGGGTAATTACTAATTAACAAAAAAAAGTTGACCAAATAATTGGCGGCAGTTTTGACGTGGCGAGATCCCATTGGTAGGATTCGGTGTGGTCAGTTGAATAGGATCTAGAACCCTACATACAAGAAAACCCGTTCGGAAGTGAGAAACGGAGAGAGATCACAGATCAGACATGTCGTCGCACAATAACCATTCAACTTCGGCCAACGACCCGAGACAACCATCAGCAGCAAAGCCATTCGTTGCGACGCCGGTATCTCCGCAAGATCTCCCCGTCGATTATTCCGGTTTTATCGCTGTGGTTTTCGGCATCGCTGGCGTCATGTTCAGGGTCCTTCCGCTCACCTCTCGATCTGTCTTCTAAACTTGAAGTTGAATAATATCGTTTTATTTCTATAAATTTTAGATATAAATTTCAGCTGATTTTTTTTTTTTTTTTTGCAGTACAAGCTGAGCTCGTGGCTAGCTATCATATTCTGCGCCCAATCACTGGCGAACATAAGGAACGTGGAGAACGATCTCAAGCAGATCTCCATGGCTATGATGTTAGTTCTCCTTTTTCCCTTTCGTTCTATTTATTTCTTTATTCATTTTAAATCCAGTTTCCTCTGTATTCACTGTATTAAAAATAATAATATTATTTTTTGGGTTAGATTTGGGGTTTGTAATTAGGAATTCAGTTGGATTGGGTTGCAAGAGTAATTTTTGCTGGAAATGTTTTATTTCCACTAAACATATTTTCTGGGAAATTTGCAAAATTTTAGTTTTTTCCATCTCTTGATTACCAAATGCACCTATTGTTGAACCAGACCATCCTTGAATTGCTACTGTTTGTTGACTTAAACAACCATGGATTGAAGCATAAAACTTCCATTGATGAAGTCTGAGTTGGTAGTCTAAGAATTTGCATGCAGAAAGGCATTTTAGGTAACTAAGTGACACGTGGCAATTCAAGGATTACTTGGCATTCTAAGGCGTTTTTGAGAAGAGGAGTTATGCTCTAGAGAATGAAAGAGAGTGGCAGTCTTTCATAATCTATGCTACTTTCCTCCAACACTGACTTTGGTTTAACTTAGTTCTTGTATTTGGTTTCTTCAAGGAATGCGACATTAGTTTATTTAAGGTTAGGCTTACTTTGTTGAGCAGCTCACTTGAGCTGTACTGGCTTTGGTGTTGATTTTTCTTAAACTTCTTCTATGACATTTTCTAATGACTTTGATGATCCTTTGTTGTACTTTTACGAGCATCACAGGTTCTTAGAGAGAGCTTTTTTATCTGCTCCCGCTCCCTTATTCAATGTTTAGGCAGATTTTGTATGGAAAAGACCAGTTTGCCCTTGATTATTTCCTTCTCTTTCTACCTTATTTCTGCTAACTAACTCAGGGATCCTTTGAGAAAATTTTGACTTGATGATATCTCAATAACTATCCCTTTATGTAATGTTTGTAGAGATGATTTTTTTTGTTTAAGTACATTTCCATAGGTAGCGCTAATAGGGTTGGCACAAGTGGTTAAGATTTAGGGCCTGGATGCTTTGCATCCCAGGTTCAAACTTCTATGGTCCTCTATAAGTAGGCCATCTGTAAGTCCAAAAAGTCCTAAACAAAAGAGATATGTAAATCCCCTTATAGGTTGGTGGCTTGGCCTGGCCTTGGAGATGGAGTAACCTCCCCTACTCCTAAACTTTTTTCAACCAAAAAAAAAAAATTTCTATAGGTAGCGTGTTTTGCATTTTCCCCACTGTTTTATATGGAATATTTAGGCTATCTCACTTGAATTTATACGATGTTTCAACTGTATTTGGACCTGTTACTCATTTGGCTTCGTTATTAATTTTACATTTTATGTCTCGAAATCAGGTTTGCTATCATGGGATTAGTAACAAACTATTTGGGACCAGCTCGGCCGGGCACCCAGAGTTAAAGATAGCTCGGATCATGTAGTTTAGCATGCACATTTCTTTTTGTTTGATGATGTCCATTCATGAAGTTGAGATAAATGGTGAACTTATTCAAGTTTCATTTTGTTGGATAATAATTCCTGTTTCTTTTCCATTAATTCTAGTTTCTAGAGATGGGCAAGTAATGCCAAAAATGTGATGACTAGTTTGTACTTACGATGCTGAAAATCCTATTTTTACAGTTGCTCAGAGTTTTGACTGCATGTTGGATCTTTCCATCTGTTGTAGCTCTCAATCAAACACATTTACCCTAAGCTAAATTCCCATCATGGTCTTCACAGCCACAGATGAAGATCAAGTAGCTATTTATAAAAGTTTATTTTTATTTTTATATTAGCACTTGCTGAATAAATAAACTCTCAGGTCATCAGAACATTTTGAAAAGAGGGTTGCATTGCTGAAGCAGTTTTTGCAAGCAGTGACAGATAGTCATACCAGCCCTAACACAACCTTTGATATTAGCCCCACTGAGGATGTTGCCCTTTTATGGAGTCAATGTCTCATTCACCAACTCGTAATCAAGGCTAGTTTCATTTCCAGATGGACTGGGGGTAGGGTAGACAGACACCCTAGGTTTCTTGAAAAGAGATTAAAAAGGAGGAAGTTAACTGCTCTAAAATACAAATAAAAACCATAAGTATAGTTCTTTTTTGTTCTCAAATTTATTTTAATAAAAAACAAATGAACTACTCTACTGCTGGAACTGCAATGAGCAGTAAGTTTATCTGGCTGTCAAAGAAGAAGCAGTGAAATTGATGGAGATTTCAAATCATCCTACCAAAAGATGCAGAAGCTTGTATTTTGAATGTTGCTTGTAAGATCTTTGAGCCTGTCAATAATTCCAATTGTCTTTTTATGAGCTTGATTCATCAGCCTTCAATTTGATTCCCAATATCCACATTTACTTGCAAACATTCATATTAGATCTTTTTCTGATAACTTTGGCCAGAGGATAAAGTCACGAGTGAGACTTAAGCTCCAGGCTGTGCGACTCTTGAACTCGGGATTGACTCCTGTGATTTTGCATGGAGGAGTAATGGTAATGTGATAATAATACTTGCTTAGGGAGGCTTATATAAAAACCTTCTGTTTCAGATATGTTTGTTGCATTTGGCAGCAAAGCAACCTTGAGCCAGCTACAGTTTGAGGAACTGCGAATTGGTCTTGAACTCACAGGCAGCCGATTATCTTTGGTTGTTCAATCCGACTTTAATCAAGGATCACCTGAAAATAAAAATCCCAGAGGACTTCAGGGATAGATTAGCTGATCATCGTAAAATTTGTACAGGGCTTCTCAAGGAAAGGTGTTGATTAACCTCTGCGTTGCTTGTGCCACAGTTCGATTTTTTACTATCCATTTCACTTCACAATTTTTTATTACTCCTTACTCTTGCAAGCGAAGTAATGCTCCCAAGTAAAATTTTTTTGCAACAAAGGGTAACTAAAAATGCTGTCAGTCTAAGAAGGGGCTAAACCAAAGCCTAGCTATTGTATTATCTATCTAGCTTTTATTGGGTTTAAATACAAAAAAAAAAAGTACTTAATTAATTTTGTAATTTAATAATTATTTTTTAAAAATAATATTTAATAAATTTAAAATTCAAATCTTTGCATTTATAATATTTTTTCTTATAAATGTGAGTTTCTTTGTAAAATATTCTTCTATTTAATTAAATTTATTATCTTATTATATTTGAGTCTTTAAATTGTTATTTATAATTACTTAAATTCTTATTGGGATGAAAAAAAATTAAGATTAACTTTTTTTGTCAATTAATTAAAAAAAATATGATATGGATTAAATTTTACTGCAAAAATAATATAAATTAAACAAATCTATAATTTTTACATCTAAGCATTTAGTTTATGATATATATATATATTTGCGAATGAGGAATGAGTTTAAATCTCTCTCTAAAAATAAAAAAATTAACACCAAAACATGCCACTTAATATTTTTTTTGAAAGTCTTAAGTGATATCATGCACTCAAAAATAATAATTATTAATTTTTCTAAACATAATTAATGAAAATAATATATGATAAAAAATTAAGGGTATAGTTTTTGTCATCCAGTTAAAAAAGAAAAAAAAAGTATATATACTTTAAACCTTGAATTATGTCATGAAATTTGATATTTATAAAAGAAATTTACAATTTAATACATTAATATTTATTTTACAAATATATATTTATTTATTGGTAAGTTAATGTATTAAATTATGAATTTTATCATAGATACCAAATCGTGAAAAATAATAATAATTTAGGAGCCAATTTACACATTAACCCAATAAAAAAAATTTGATTGGGTTTCTAGGGCAGGGGATAAAACGCCGTCGTAGTAAAAGGGTAATTATGTACTTTCGAAAGCGAACAGCTTAAAACCCTAATTTTCTCGTTTTAGCGGTTCTCTCACTCGCTCGAGCAAAAACTTCATACATCGCAAGCCTCAAGAAGCTACAGCCGCAGAAGAAAGAAAAAAAGAGAAAACAAGAAAAAAATGGAGGCGGCGAGAACTGTTAAGGACGTTTCTCCCCACGAGTTCGTGAAGGCCTACGCCGCCCATCTCAAACGCTCCGGCAAGGTTTGGTTTTAAAAACTTTAATCCCTTTGCGTTTTCATTTGTTGCGTTCTGTTTGTAAATTTTTCTGTTTTTTTTTCCACTGTTTTTAGGGTTTTCGTCTTTGATTTATTTTTCAATTGGGGGATTCACTTTGATTATGGAAAATCTGTTTCATTAAAAAGATGATGCTTTTAAGAATTTTCAAATGAAGAGACCAAAGAAAGTAACTTTGAAATAAATCTTTGCAAAAAGCCTTGATGTTGTGATTGTTACTTTTGCCACTTGATTTTGGAAGCAATAGTGAATAATTTTTTTTCAAAGAATTAAAAGTTAAAAAGTAAAAAATGTTTTTGAATAATAAAATGTATGATTTACACTTTTATACGGATCTAGTCTGTTAGAAATTTTCATGCATGTTAGCTATTTGTTCATTGTTTGTCAGTTGCTCTTGATGAAGGAAAATTTTAAGTAGGAAGGGCAAAAAATAAATGAAGCCATAATTAGGTTTTAATTTTTTATGGTATGGTTTTAGCAGATATGGGGTGTTTGATTCATGGTGTATGGATGGATGTGGTTCTTTAGTTGGACTAACAATTTTCTCACTCTGACATGTTATTGTGGGTACAATCGGTTGCTGAGATTTTGGAAGCTAATGTGACTTGTTTGTTTTTATTTTATGCGTAATTTTTCAGTACGTTCAAAGAATATGAAGGGATAAGGAGTCTACTTCCATTCATAGCAGTTTGTTTCTTGTGTTTCCTTTTCCCCCTGTTTTTTGACAGATTGAGCTTCCTCCATGGACTGATATTGTCAAGGGTGGTAAATTTAAGGAGCTTGCTCCGTATGATCCTGATTGGTATTATGTCAGAGCTGGTATGCAGATTTCTCACTCTCTCTAACCCCTTCACCTTTGTTATTTTCTAAAGACATGCTTGTTTAGGCATCTATGAATGAACACAACTAATGCACTATATGCATCTTCAAGCTCCCATGAACACTGTTCTTCATTACTTTGTAGCTTCCATGGCAAGGAAAATCTACATGAGGGGAGGTCTTGGTGTTGGTGCCTTCAGGAGGATATATGGAGGGGCCAAGAGAAACGGCAGCCGTCCACGTCATTTCTGCAAGAGCAGTGGCTCTATCGCTCGTCACATTCTCCAGCAATTGCAGAATATGAACATCATTGATCTTGATACTAAAGGGTGAGTTTTTATGTGTATGATTCTTGGTTTTATACTTTATTGCTATTAGCATTAATACTTTGGTGATATCAAGCTAATTGGTTGTCTATGCTATTAATATTGCATGGGAAGGCAATATTGTCATGTATTTGCCTCTTTGTTCAATAGAATAAACAACATATAGAAGGTTCCTATAATGAATTGCAGAAGTTATTTATGTAAAATAGCTTATCGAGTGCCATTTTGTTTTGACTATATTGCATATTATCAATATTCTTTCATCTGTTAATATCAACTAAAATCATATTCCTGTGTATCAGTGGTAGGAAAATCACATCTAATGGTCAACGAGATCTTGATCAAGTTGCTGGAAGGATTGCAGTTGCCCTCTGAGAAATTTAGTAGATGCTGTCAAATGGGATGAGTTCTTAGTTGTTTGAAAGAAAACTGTTTTAGTAGGAGGCAGTGTTAAATCAATTTTCTGTTTGGTTTGCGTCTGGTGTTTCTATATGAAGCTTTTTTTGTCTTAAATTCCAATATGCTGTTTGTTGACTGTGACCTTCAATTTTGAAGTCCATTTATCTACATATTACTTATCTACTTCACCACTAGTTTTTTTTTTAATTTTTATGCTCACTTCATTATCCGCCAGTATTAATGACAAGCATAGATTGGAGAAACTAAGTTGAATTCAAGGTTAATCTATGCAATTACTTTTAAAAGATAATTTCAATAACTTTAAAATTTTTTTTACTCTCAGATTATTGTTGTTTCCTTTTTTTTTTCCAAATTTATGATTTTTTTTTTTAAAAGCTTGCTTTTGATGGCATATGTAAGTCTCATACATGCAGGAAGGAATCTTGCTCTTATCATATTAAATAATTATAATAATGTTTAATTGATTTAAATTAAAAATATTCTTAAATTAAATTACATTAAATAATAATTGTTTGTTCAAATAATATTTATTTCTTGTGTTTTAATATATATTAATAATAATATAATTATATTTTTTTAATTATTAAAATTAATTGTTAAATAACATAATACAAATTTATTTATAAGTGTAATTTATATGTATTTTTAAAACATTAATATTTTTATCGTATAATCTAATATACATTTTTATTGATGGTATAAAAAAATAGTAATTTTCATGTTACAAATTCTTTTAATGATATTAATGTAATTATGAAATAAATACATCATTTAAAATATTATTAATATGCAAATATTTAAGTTATTTATTATTTAAATTATTTTATAAAAATATTTATTTTAAATTTATATTTGATATATTGTTAATGTATAGATGATATATATTTAACGAATTACGTAATCACATATTATAAAATATTAATTTTAAATATCATTTTACAATTATATGGATTTATTTTAAAAAATTTTAAATTAATTTTTTAAAGATATTTTATTAAAAGTTTAAAACATTTATGCACGAATACCATATCAAATATAAGTTGTTCAGTTTCTTACTCGCTGTTTGGTTGCCGAGAGAAAGAGGACGAAAATTTTCGAGCTCACTGTCTTTATTGTTTGTGACCCAAAAAATAATGACAAGTATTAGTTTACCATGTTTTCTGGATAACCCGAACAGTGCCTTGTATACGTTCAAGAGATCAACCTAATTGAGTTTTTATTTCCCTTTCTTTTTCATATTTGCTCTTTTATATAATATCGAATTCAAGTTGAAATTTCCTTTTTATTTTATGTATTATAAATAATTTTTTCTATGACTTTATTTTATGTTTGTTACCTTCTTGCTCTGATCAAGACAATGGAGTATATTGATATAACTGGTTGTTTAGGCTGTTAAAATTAGTGATTTTGGATTAGCAGTTTTTCTCAATATATAAGCATTTCTTCTTAGAGGGCTTGTAGGATTGCTGTGAGACAAGAAGTGAACATAATGAGATGGTGAAAGAAGTATGAATATGGATAAGAATCTGGATTTTTATAGACAATGGGCAGCAAGCTTTTTTCATAACGAGCTACTTACATTGACATTTGGTGATTAGGGGGTATGGTGTTTGTTAGTGATTGTAGAATGCAATAATATAAGTCTTGAAGAATGGATGACGATCTAATGTTTCGTCCCAGTTGGACTGACAAGAGTCCAGCTGAAATGGCAGCCAATTCACCACTCTTCATTTTCTCGTGTTATCGCTGGCCTAGTTTGTATTTTGACTATATTTTACACAGCTTTCCAGTGGAGAAGAAACATTAACTTAAGTCGGATGAAAGCTGTAGCTAGGTCGAAGAAAAACCCAAAGGCCAAGCATAAGGTTCCTGTAGCTGCTCATACTTGGGAGCTGGAATCTGTATCCTGGGAAATAATTTAAATTGCTGTGCTTGCTTAAAGCCAATGTCACCTTCCCAAACCCTAAGGCCTATGATAGCTTCAGATAGTTTCATTCACCGTTGTAGATATGTGGTGCAGTGGTTCACTTGAGCTGCTCTTCCAGCGCACACAAGGATTGCAAGTTTGCATCTATGATTGGCTTTGAGCGCGTGATGCACCAGTGGGCAGTTCGGTGGACAGAGCTTACTGATCAAGCGGATGAAGCTTCCTTCTGCAGCCATTATGAAGTGCCATGTAGCGGGTCTTTTCTTGGTGGATCTCCTATATGGTGTTGCTTGTGGTGGCAGTTTTAGGCCTAAAACTGATGAGATTAATTACTACTTCCATGCTTTTATAACAGTTATAACTTATAGGTCATCTTAGTGTGAGAAGCAAATTGGCATCCCAACAGATGATAAAGAGTGATGTGCAAGCTAAACTTGATAAAATATAGCATTTAATAAAAAATAGTTAAATTTTAGATTCATTCATCTGTTGCTGGCTATTTGTCTGTTAGAAAAACAACTGGAATACACACTTGAAGTAGAAGAGTAGCCAACACAGCCTCTCAAGGTGGTGTGAGAATTTCCTGAATTCTTGGCTTGCCATACCATATCATGTTCGGTACATCAGATATTAACTAGTGGGGCAGGAATTACTTTTTTTTTTCAAAAACCAATGAATATTGAGAAAGCAAAAACTGTAGTTGCCCACACTACCACTTGCCAGGAATGACTTTCCTTAAATTCTTGGAAGATGATGAACATACTTTTTGAGTGTCTAATGACGTAATAAGCTTACATTATACCTTAATTGCTAATGTCACCACCTGTATTGGCATTTTTTTTTGTTCTAGCTGATCTGATTTTAGCTTTGGTTCTTGACTTTTATAGTTGTGAATATGTTTTCCAGTTTGATGGTTGTGAGGGTTTTTCTCATTAAAATTGGTCACAGGTATTTGTTGATTTTCCAATTTGCTGCTTGTGAGCGTTTTTCTCATTGAAATTTGTCATAGGTTTTTGAATTGAGTTCAACACGAGGACCAGGAATGGGTCTTTTTTTATGCAGAAAGGTTCCTCAATTCGGAATACTTGTATGTGGGGGAGATGGTACCACTGGTTGGGTTCTTAATGCAATAGACAAGCAAAATTTCGTTTCTCCACCTCCAGTTGCTATTCTCCCTGCTGGAACTGGAAACGATCTGGCCAAGGTACTGTCCTGGGGAGGTGGTTTGGGCTCAGTGGAGAGACAAGGTGGCCTTTGCACGGTGTTGCAGTACATAGAGTCTGCTGCAGTGACCATTCTTGACTGCTGCGAAGTTGCTATTTTGAATCAACAGGGAAGCAACTTCAATCTTCAAAATTTATGAACAACTATCTTGGTAAGCAGACTAGTTCTTTTAAGTCTTCTAGAATCTGGTTAAGTTGAATGTCTAGATTGTCAACTTGAAATTTGACTCAACAGAGAGGGAGAGGGAAAGCGAGAGCAAGAGCAAGAGAGTCCGATATCTATGGTAGCTGGTTTTTTGGTTTGCTTGGATTTGTACTTAGCTGTGCGTCAGACTTTCTGATATTTCTAAATATCTGCCCATGATACCCTGAAATGGCTAAAATCTTAGATTGAATGGGACACCTGTTATTTTGGCTGGCTGATGGGTAGTTTTTAGCTTTTTCAATTATCTTGGTTAGACCAGTGCATTGGTATGTTATTGTAACTCGGTAGTCTTCTCATGTATTACGATTCTCTCACAGGGATCGGTTACGATGCGAAGGTTGCTTTGGACAATTACAACTTATGAGAGGAGAATCCTGAAAAGTATTATAATCAGGTAGTTATAATCTTCCTACGTTATCCATTTTGAAGTGCTATGCAAAATAAACAGTGACAATTGATTGAATTATTATGTAGTTTGTTCAACCGAAATGGATTTTAATTTCAGCCTACCTGATTGTTATAGTTTTGGACTTTCTGATCTTTACCTCTACATATTTATAAACTCATGGTTTTATAAATAAAAATATATAAATATATATCTTGCCAGTTGTGTTAAGAAAATGGGGTCCAGTCCCATGTAAGTGGTTTTGGACCAAGTAAAGGTCATGGGCCTTGATCTTTTATTTTACACAGAGCCCTAGTTACTTAATAAAAAAGAAGTGGGGTTGTTTTAGGTGTGTGTCGAAAACCAAGCAGAGAAAGAAGAAAAGCCAGGAAAAGCAGAGAAAGAAAAATGAGAAGGGAGAGTTGGTTGAACGGAAGTCGATCCGTAGTCTGATTGAGTTGGAACCTTGTCAGGAGGTTTATGATTCAGAGTTCTATATTCTGAACGGTGAAGATCGGGTTTGAAGCTCTCTAGAAACAAATCCAGGATATATTTGTTAAGTCACTTATTTAGTGAGATTTCTCCAATTGTTTCTCTAGTTGTTGATTAGCTCTAGTTTTAGCTAGAGAAGAACTTTGTATAACTATTATTGATAGTGAAGATTTTTCTGATGGCCCGTGATTTTTTCCCTCTACACTGGAGGGTTTTCCACGTAAATCTTGGTGTGCTTTATTTTTCCTGCGTATTTGATTATTGATTGTTGTCTATTGCTTCTGTATTGTTGTGATTATTGCTTCAGGCGCAACAAGTGGTATTAGAGCGAGGGTTATTTTGAGACATCGATACAGAAGCAACCCAGGATAGAAGTAAATTCTGTTTGAGATCATGGAGGGTGATACATGTTCCATGATAAAATTGACAGCATCGAATTATTCAATTTGAAAGCCTATGATGAAGGATCATCTATACTGCAAAGATTTGTATGAGCCAGTATTGGGTGATTCGGCTAAACCAGCGGATATGAAAGATGAAAGCTGGAAGAAGCTAGATAAAAAAACGCTGGCTACAATCAAAAAATTGGTTGATATCAGCGTGTTCCATCATGTAGCGCAGGAATCAGATGCTTACATTGTTTGAAAAAAATTGACAGCATTGTATGAGAGAAAAACAGGTATGAATAAAGTTATGCTTGTTAAAAAGCTTGCAACTTTACAGTACAAGGATGGACGATCTGTTACAGAGCACTTGAGTGATTTTTAAGATATATTTAATCGGATGACTATTATAGAGCTTAAGATGGATGATGAAATAAAGGTATTATTTCTTTTGGGTTCATTGCCAGACAGTTGAAATACTCTAGTTGTGACTGTTCTTAATTCAGCTCTTGATTATAAGGTGACATTGGAGATGTTAAAGGATAGTATGTT